TGTTCGCCCTCCCCGCCCGGGGCCAGGCGCGCCCCCTGGCGGCGCTGCGGGCGGTCATTACCCGCGCGGCGTTAGCTGGGCGGCTGGAGCCCCCCGTCTGCTGTGACACCCCAAGACCGTAATCGTGCCAATAAAATCAGTTCAGGTCCCTCCGTGGGGTGATCCAGGCCGTGTTCCTTCACAGAGGCGGTTAAAGCCGCTGGCGGATGCTCTCACTGACCCCAAATAAACACATTCCAATATGGAAAAAAAAAGAACTAAAGCCCCTAGCAATAGCTAAGTGCTTCATCACGTTATTAAAATAATTTCTGCAACAGATTTATTTGGCCATCAAATAAAAGAGCACTAAAGGAAGTGTTTCAAATAGATTTCACTTAAACATTACAAATAGATCCATTTACAGAGGGTGAAATACTAAACCAAATGTCTGTTTAATCCAAAGGTCTGAAAACGATCCACCACGGTGAATAAAATCCTTCTCCATGCCTTGACAGCAAGGCCAAAATGATGGCAAAGCACAACCTGCGGCACATCACACCTACCTGAGGGGCAAACACTGATCCTGCGCCTGTAGCCTGCGGACTCCCCCTCCAGAGAGCTGGAAAAGAAATGCCAGTTACACCAAACCACCGGGAATTTCCTAAAACTTGACCAAGTCAAGGGTTGCTCTGCGCTGTCACTTCACGGCGCTCCAAATTGGCCACGTTTCTGAAGCAGTGAAAAGCATGTCATGTACCTCCCAGAGCCTGCCCGGCTGTTTGGAGGATCACAAGTTAATTAATAGTTAGCTGGGATCATGTGCTCAATTCAGTGGTTCTTAACGAAAAAATGGCTCAGGAATTCAACGAGTCCTGGACTCATCAAGAGTTTTTTATATATATATATGTGAAGTTCTGGAAGCTCTAGATGACAATGATTTGCTGAAATGCAGAAGGCAGCATTTACCTGACAGAGGGTTTTTTCTGTTAATCGGGTAATAAGCCAATTAAAAGGCATTAGCTTCAGGTGCCTCAATTTGTTGGACCGGGCTGTGTTTAGACTGAGGGATGGGAATATTCTGGCATCGAGGGATGATGATATTTTCAGCATACTTTTGTTAGGCTGCTCTGATGCCAAGGGTTTTGTTAACATCCTCTTAGGGTCACAGTGACCTCGATAACGTTAGTACAGAATTGGTGTAAATGTGTATGAATTCATGTCAGTTCAGGAGGACATGGCACCTTTAAATGTGCTTTGAGATCTGTGACCATATGTCCCCATTATGAATGTGTAAGTTAGAGGAAAGATATAAACAGCTCTTGGGAGCGTTTCCCAAGACACCTTCAACGTGTGTTAGTCACCTTGTTTTGTCAGGTGAAAAGGCCTGTCAGTATGAAGAAAAAGCAGCAAATTGCTAGCAAGGTTTGGCTTTGGATGTGCTATCAAGTTCTCCTGGAAGATGGTTATTAGTTTTGCCTTTTGCTGGACTAAAGCTGCATTTGTCTGTAATAACATCAGTGTAGCTGCCTAAAGACAAACCTTGCAAAAGGAAAAAGGTGCTTTGAAGCCCCTTCTAATCTCACCTCAGTGTGACAAGACAGACCATCAGGGAGAGGGTTTGGTCCTGTCCTAGAGACAAACCAGCACTTGGGACACATCTGAAGAACGTTTCTCTTTCATCATCATCATCATCTGGGGGAGAAGGGAAAAACAGTAAGTTAGTTCATAGACTCAGGTGAAACTCCAAACGCTGGTACAGGCATAGTACCGCCAAGGAAGGGTGAACCACGAGGATTTAGTGTTGTGCGAGTGCAACGGCTTTTAGAATCACCTGAACAGTGAAGTATCAGGTGAGCTACAGGTGTCAGCGTAGCTGGGACAAGGCTGCTGAGGCTGAACAGAAGGGCTGCGTTAAGAGAGTAATTCTGCGGGAAAATCCTGATGCTGTTCGGAGAAGATAAGGCCCGCAGGGGAGTACGAGAGGCCCCGTTACCATGAAGAGCCCTTTGAGAGAGCCCAACCCCGGGCAGCGCAGGGGCGGCACGGCCAGGCCCCGCCGCGCTGCTGCATTCGGCTCCCGGCCCCGGGGAGGGAGCGGGCCCGGG